AAAAGAAAAAAGCTTATTCCTTTGGAGAAATACAATCAATATAATAAAAGATAGCCCTAACCGGTTTGGCTCAGTGGATAGAGCGTCGGCCTGCGGACTCAAGGGTCCCAGGTTCGATGCTGGTCAAGGGCATGTACCTGGGTTGCAGAGACATCCCCAGTGGGGAGTGTGCAGGAGGCAGCTGGTCGATGTTTCTCTTTCATCGATGTTTCTAACTCTCTATCCCTCTACCTTCCTCTCTGTAAAACATCAATAAAATATATATATATAATAAAAGATAGCTCTAAATTAGGCTGCCATATAAAACAGGATTAGAGAGATATACTATGGAACTATGGAAGACTTGTTTCCCCATAATGCAACTGTCTTATTTTTCCTCAAAATCAAATTTCTGAAATTCTCCAGAAAAGAAAATATTAGATGTTAGTAATGCAAGCAAACATAAAATACTAGGTAAATGTATATACATAGTATCGTTATTCTTGCAAATTTAGCATCCTATAAATTCAGAATGGGAAGACTTCTGCCTATGGCTTTATTATAGTGACTTTAGGCTTGACGGTAAATATCTTTGAATAACTAGGTTAAAAAATAGACTCCGGAGTCCAATAAACATGGTTTCAAAACCTGTTGGTCCAAAAACAAAAACTAAACAAACAAAACCCTTTGTTGGCCCATTTGCTGGGTAACCTTGGACAAATCATTGAACCCCACTTAAGTTAATATTACTTTGCCTAATTAGAGGTGTTGTGAAAATTAAATGATAATAAATATAAATTAGCACATAGTAGAGACTAGCACATGACAATCATAAATGGTAGCTATCATCATCACCATCATCAAGGAATTCTTGCCACAGTGAGTATGAGAATGTATGTGTATACTTATAAGAACAGAGGAGAAAGCTACAGCATCCTGGTCTCATCAGGCAATTTTAGTTAAAATTACAACTCATCTGAACTCATTTATAAAACTAAGGGAAGGGAAACTGTTCCAAATTATTATATTATCTAAATAAAGGAGGATTATAGACAGTAAAACTCGGCAGACTATATACACTTTAAATTCTGTAAGCTTTAGTTATGATTCTACCAGTGATTTGTGACTGAATGTGAAAGGTCACTCATTCTTTGCTATTACTACAATGAAAATGTCAATACTAACCTTAGGTAACAAATTATATACTTAAAACAATCTTTCTGCTACGTTCAGAGGTCTAAACGTAGACATTCCCGGAGACCACCTTGGATTCCAGATTGAGTTCAAACAAGCCACGTGTCAATGTCTAGACTCAGAAGCCCTGCCTAAGTTAAGATAAAATATGCAAAAATAATATTAAGCGAACCGTAAGTGCCTTCCCAAAAGAAATGAAGATTCTCCAAATTTAGAGATCAGAAATTACCCTATCAGAGTGGCTGACAGAGTAATCAGGAACAAATTAACAATACTTCTTGCCAAAAACAAAACAAAACAAAAACAATGCTTTACCTATCTTCCTGTGAATTCTTTCCAGATCGCCTTTTATTTTTAGCTTCTCGTGGAGATGATCGAATTTTCTTAGCTGGAGGACCCGAATCTCTTCCATAATCTTCATCTACACAGCATTTTTCAAAAATCAATAAACTATATTATGATTTGTACATGTAGAAATTACCACTGCATTTTCTTAGATAATTATCTCTCATGCTATTTAAATAATGAGGGGCAAGATTTTCCAAATAATTATTTTTTCATTAAAAAATAAAATAGCCTGGCAGGTGTGGCTCAGTGGTTGAGCGTAGATCAATGAACCAGAAGTTCACGGTTCACATGCCCAGATTGAGGGCCCAAACCCTGGTATGGGCCATGAAGGAGGCAGCTGATCAATGATTCTCTCTCATCATTAATGTTTCTATCTCTCTCTCCCTTCCTCTCTAAAATCAATTTAAAAAACATACACACACACACATATTTTAAAAATAAATAAAATTCTTCTTTCCCAGTCTCACCACCTTATCATTTCCATTTCTGTATATTACCCTCTAGTCCTCATGTGTATGTTTTAATATATCCTTAGCCAAATATCTCATCATTTGTATATCCTACCCTTTTTATTAAAGATTTTCCCATGTTTCCACACCTTTATATTTATTTGAAAACTATTATAGTAATATAAGCATTTTAGAATGTAAAGAACCCATGACTCTACAATGCTAATACAATTCCTGTTATCAAGTAAATTACTTTTAAATTTAAGTAGTAGGTATAGTATACTCTGGCACTTAAGAAAAATACCTCCAATTTCTTTCTTTTTAAAAAAATTTGATTTAGCCCAACTGGCATGGCTCAGTGACTGAGCGTTGCCTATCATCAGGAGGTCACAGTTCTATTCCCAGTTAGGGCACATGCATGGGTTGCAGGCTTAATCCCCAGTAGGGGGCGTGCAAGAGGCAGCCAATCAATGATTCTCTTTCATCATTCATGTTTCCATCCCTCCCTCCCTTCCTCTCTGAAATCAATAAAAATATTTTTAAAATTTTGATCTTAGAGTGGAAGAAAGGGAGAGAGAATCATCGGTTTGTTGTTCCACTTATTTATGCAAAATAACTTCAGTTTCAAAAGCCCTATTAAACTAAAGAAAATTACCCCACCTTAAAAGGTGATTATTTCCAAATGTGTTTACTACATCATTATACACGGAGCTTCAGCAATTATTAAAAAGTTGGCTACATTATAAATTCCATTATGGAATATCATAAAACCAATAATAGGAATTTCTCAAGTAACTTCTAATAACAGGAGGCAGAAACTAAGTAGGGGTGGTATAATAAGTAGGGGGTGATCTGGTAAAGGGAGAGAACCCAAAAATCCCACAGCAAGACCTCAACTAGATTTTTAAAGGGGTCGATGTGGCTCAGTGGTTGAGCATCGACCCATCCAACAGGTCTCTGGTTCGATTCCTGGTCAGGATACGATGCCTGGGTTGCTGGATCAATCCCCAGCAAGCATGGTTCAATGGCAGGAGGCAGCTGGTCAATAATTTTTCTCTCTTATCCATGTCTCTATCTCTCCCTCTTCCTTCCTCTCTCTCAAATATCAATAAAAACATTTAAGGGAAAAAGTCAAAACCTTTTTCAACAAATGGTTAAAATGGCCATTTGCTGGCTAATGGATCTTGAGTAATATCTTTGCGTCAGTTGCGATATCTGCAAAATGGAAATAATAATATATATCCTATTTTAATAGCATTGTTCTGAGGATTAAATTTATAAATGCAAACATTCAGCAAGCATTTAATAAGTAGTTAACTGCCACGCATCCAAAAATGCTTTTATCTCGCTTGCATCTATAGACGCTTATGGCGTACAAAGGTGTAAATGTTAGTATTCCCTGAGAGGCTGAATTATGTGGGTTTTTTTTAAAAAAAAACTCTTCCTTATGCATTTTTTAAGTTTTCCCAAAGTGCACATATTATCTTTATATAAAGTAAAATTAGATTTTAAAAAAGAAAAAAATAGTAAATGCATCTGGAAAATAAAATTAGAAACATCTTATTCTTTTTTAAAATATATTTTATTGATTTTTTACAGAGAGGAAGGAAGAGAGATAGAGAGTTAGAAACATCGATGAGAGAGAGAGAGAAACACTGATCAGCTGCCTCCTGCACATCTCCCACTGGGGATGTGCCCGCAACCAAGTTACATGCCCTTGGCCGGAATTGAACCTAGGACCTTTCAGTCCGCAGGCCGATGCTCTATCCACTGAGCCAAACCGGTCAGGGCAGAAACATCATATTCTATAGAAACCTGTTCTGGCTAAGATTTAAGATACACTACTCATTCTATAATGAATCAGTTCACAAATCAAAGTTGTTTCACAAAATACTCTCATCTTACTTTATTACACAAAAACGAAAATACTCTCTATTAAAAGGTACAAGTTTAAAATAGGATTATAGCAGGATACATTAACTAATAAACACTGCATGAGAATTATTTGCACACTTAAACTTTGGACTGCAAAACCAAGAAAAAATTATTCAATGTTTACATGAGTAATTTACTAAGGAAAACTTAAAATCCATGCAAGTTCAAGTTTTATTTTGGGTGACACAGATATTAATGTAATTTAGATACATAAATAGTCTAAATATGAAAAATTAAAAACTTATTCCAAAAGCCTTATAAAAAATACATAAACTAGTGATTCTTCCACTACTAGGGTTCAACTCATAATTTATTGAAATCACAAAACTTACCAGCATCATCAGATTCCTGAAACTGTGAATAATCAACGACCTTCCTATTTCTGTAGAAAGAAAAATTCTAATTAAGATAATAAAAATGTAGGACTTTCTAAGATATTAGCATACACATTTCTTTTTCCTAAAACAATTAGAACTATAGCTCTAAAAAAAATTTCTCAACAAATTCCCATCTCAGCCAAAAGACTTCATATATAGTTTTTTGTTTTTATTAATTGATTTTAGAAAGAGAGAGGAAGGGGGTGGGGGAGAGAAACATGGACTTATTGTTCCACTTATTTATATATTCATTGATTGATTTTTTTTGTATATGTCCTGACCAAGGATTGAACCCAAAACGTGGACATATCAGGACGCTCTAACCAACTGAGCTACCTGGCCAGGACATAAATGTTTTTCTTACTGCTATATACACGTATGTAATGTACACCTGATAAACAAGGTTATTAATGAGTTTTTTCAAGATGAAGTGATTTTTAAATACTATAATACAATTACATTATAAGATATAAATCCTAGTGACAGTAAGTTAAGCCTTACGAAGGGGAAGAAAAAAATGGACTCATTCAAGATTCTTATAATCTCAAACAAACCTTAATTTGTATTTCCCTACTTTATATACAGGGTGGGGCAAAAGTAGGTTTACAGTTGTGAATACTCAATACAGTTTATTATTTACAGTGTATTATTATTTTCCATAAAAACAATTGTAAACCAACTTTCATTCCACTCTGTATAAAAGTGTCCACGTAAATATCCAGACAGCCTGGCTTTCAGAGAGCCTTAGAGGCACTGTAACTAAATGATGCTGAACAAGTGAACGAAAAGATTAAGAGAAACAAACCACCGACACCGAGCAGAGGATTTTATAATAAAGATTAAGACACCACTTAAATTCAAAGGCAGGATGGTCAGAATCCAAGGACTGGTAGAACTACTATATAATATGCAAAAATGATAGGTGTAGGAATGAATTCTGAGAACATACTTAGAGTGATGTTATAGACACACACTTGGCTTTAGAGAAAAAAGAAAGGCTCTTAAGGAATGTTGCCTTCTGTTTTTCTTTATTCTACCAACAATGAACCTTCTCAATTTACTGCCCCAATGGGTCAAGATACAAAATTTAAAAATATGTTTCAATTACAGTCGAGCCTTTGAAGTGCATGAGTCCACTTATAACATTTTTTATCTTCTAAGCAGATGACATAAATTTACAGTATTAATAAATATAGTACAGTGCTGTAAATGTATTTTTTCTTCCTTACTATTTTAATAATGTATTTCCCTAGCTTACAAAAATCACGATTATAGCAATAGATGCAGAATAAGCATTTGACAAAATCCAACACCCATTTTTGATAAAAATTCTCAGCAAAGTGGGAATAGAGGGAGCATACCTCAACATAATAAAGACCATATATGACAAGACTACAGCCAATGGGCAAAGCTAAAACCATTTCCTATAAGAACAGGAACAAGACAGGGATGTGCACTTTCACCACTCTTATTCAACACAGTACCGGAAGTCGTAGTCACAACAATCAGACAAGAAGAAATAAAAGGCATCCAAATAGAAAATGAGGAAATAAAACACTCATTATTTGCAATGACATAATATTGTACATAGAAAACCCTAAAGACCCCATCAAAACACTACTAGATTTAATAAATGAATTTGGCAATGCAGTAGGATACAAAATCAACACCCAAAAATCGACGGCTTTTTAATACACCAACAATGAATTCTCAGAAAGAGAAACTAAACAAGCAATCCCATTTATCATTGCAACAAAAAAAGTAAAATACTTAGGAATAAACTTAACCAAGGAAGTAAAAGACTTGTACTTGGAAAATTACAATACAGGACATTGGAAAAAGAGATTGAGGAAGATATAAACAAAGGGAAGAATATACCATGTTCATGGAGAGAATCAACATCATTAAAATGTCCATACCATCCAAAACAATCTATAGATTCAATGAAATTCCTAATAAAATACCAACAGCATATTTCACAGATCTAGAACAAATACTCCAAAAATTTAAATGGAACCAAAGAAAGACTCTGAATAGCCACAGCAATCTTGAGAAAGAAGAACAAAGTTGGAGGGATCATAATACCAGATATCAAGTTATACTACAAAACCCTACAATCTAAACAGCCTAGTAACTGCACAAGAACAGGCATATAGATCAATGGAACAAAACAGAGACCCCAAAAATAGACCCAAGCCATTATGCTCAATTAATATTTGTCAAAGGAAGCAAAAGCATAAAATGGAGTCAAGACAGTCCTTCAATAAGTGGTGTTGGGAAAACTGGACAGACGGGAAAAAAATGAAGCTAGACTACCAACTTAGACCATACACTCAAAATGGATAAAAGACTTAAATGTAAGTTGTGAAACCATAAAAATCCTAGAAGAAACTATAGGCAGCAAAATCTCAGACATCTCTCATAGCAACATGTTTACAGATACATATTGGGACTACATCAAAATAATAAGCTTCTGCACAACAAAGAAACCATCAACAAAACTGTTTGGCTCAGTGGATAGAGCAGCTGCCTGCAGACTGAAGGGTCCCAGGTTCAATTCCAGTCAAGACACATGCTGGGATTGCAGGCTTGATCCCCAGTAGGGGGCGTGCAGGAGGCAGCCGATCAATGGTTCTCTCTTATCATTGATGTTTCTATATTCCTCTCCATCTCCCCTCCTCTCCAAAATCAATTTTAAAAAATGCTCAATTAAAAGAAAAACAAAAATGACGGGAGAACTTATTTGGCAATGATATATCTGATAAAGGGTTAATGTCCAAAACATACAAGGAAATGGGCATACAACTTAACAAAAGGGAAGGATCTAAATAGACTTCTCCAAAGTAGACATACAGATGGCCAAGAGACATACAAAAACTAGAGGCTCAGTGCACAAAATTGTGCATGGGTAGGGTCCCTAGGCCAGTGATGGCGAACCTATGACACACATGTCAGAGGTGACACGTGAACTCATTTTTTTGGTCGATTTTTCTTTAATGGTATTTAAATATATAAAATAAATATCAAAAATATAAGTCTTTGTTTTACTATGGTTGCAAATATCAAAAAATTTCTATATGTGACACGGCACCAGACCTAAGTTAGGGTTTTTCAAAATGTTGACATGCCGAGCTCAAAAGGTTCGCCGTCACTGCCCTAGGCCTAGCCTGCGATCAGGGCCATCTTCTGCCCGCTTGTCAGTCCCCAGTCCTGCTCCACTGCCACCCACCCCAGTTTCCGGTTTGCCACCCAGCAATCAGAGCCTGCGGGCCAGGGGGAGGGACCAAGAGGTCTGCCTTCCGCCTGCTCACCAGTCCCCAGTCCCACCTCGCCGCCACCCACCCTGGTTCCCCATGGTTCCGTTCACCATCCAGCGATCGGAGCCTGCAGGCCAGGGGAAGGGACCAAGTGGTCAATGCGCCTCATAGCAACCCGTCTATCAGCCACTGTGAAAAACAGTATGGAGTTTCCTCAAAAGATTAAATATGGAACTGCCATTTGACTCAGTGATCCCACTTCTGGGGATATATTCTAAGAAATCTGAAACATCAATCAGAAAGAATATATGCACCCCTATGTTCATAGCAGCACAATTTACAACAGCTAAGATCTGGAAACAGCCCAAATGTCCATCAGTAGGTGAGTGGATAAAGAAGCTATGGCTAAAAAAAAATAGCTGTGGTACATTTATATCATGGAATATTATGCAGCAGTAAATAAGAAGGATCGCTTACCCTTCAAAACAACATAGAGAGACCTGGAGAGTATTATGCTAAGCAAAACAAGTCAGTCAGAGAAAGACAAGTATCATGCGCTCTCACTCATTATGTGGAATCTAATGAACAAAATAAACTGATGAACAAAATATATCCAGAGACATAGAAACACAGAGCAGACTGTGGAATCTCAGAGGGAGGTTGCAGTTATCAACCAAAGAATTTGTATGTGTATGTGCACAACCCATGGACACAGATAGAAGCGGTCATGGGAGGGAAAAAGGGGACATATATAATACTTTTAACAATAAAGGTTTTTTTTAAAAAAAAACCACAAAAATAAAATCATTTTTTCAAGCTTAAGCACTCACAAAATCTATCAAAGTTTGGTGGCCAGTGTGTGTGTGGATATGATGCTGCTGTCGTGTGTATTATATGTACTAGGCCAGCAGTCCCCAACCTTTCGGACCTCACGGACCACCAGTGGTCCGCAGACCACTGGCTGGCAACTGCTGTACTAGGCTATTGGACTTTAGACAATCTAATCCAACCTTATCCATAACTCATCCTACCAAGGGAATAAGTGAGAACCTCCCTTGATCTCCCAAGGCTGCCTGTTCTAAAAAAATTCTAATAATGAAACAATTCTCAATGAGGTGGAATCTGCATCTGAAGTCCACTCACCAATTCTATCTTGTCTACCTTCTGAGATTTACCATGGTCTAAATCTAACCCCTCCTCCCTTAAAAAATACATATGACAGTTTCTACTTTTTCCTTCAAGGCTAAATAGTAAGAGTTCCCTTTAACTCTTCCTTACAACATATTTCAAGCATCCTCACAACCTAGTTGCTTTCCTCTACACCACTTCAGATTAAAATCTATGCAAGTAGTGCCCCAATCTAAACATTATAAGATGGTTTTAAAAAGGTGTGTGGGCCCTAGCCGGTTTGGCTCACTGGATAGAGCGTTGGCCTGGGGACTGAAGAGTCCCAGGTTCGATTCTGGTCAAGGGCATGTACCTTGGTTGCGGGCACATCCCCAGTAGGGGGTGTGCAGGAAGCAGCTGACTGATGCTTCTCTCTCATTGATGTTTCTAACTCTCTATCCCTCTCCTTTCCTCTCTGTAAAAAGTCAATAAAATATTTAAAAATAAATAAATAAATAAACAAATAAAAAGGTGTGTGGAGGAGGGGAAGCAGATCAGAATTATGACTCTTCCCATTTGTACTAATGCAATCCAAGATCTCAGTTGCCTTTTGGGGCTGTTGTATCACACAATGGACTGGATATTGCAATTAAAATGACTAAAACCCCCTTTCCTCAAAATCTAAGACCTTTTTGTATTCAGATACTTCTACATATTTTTATCTTTCTCAAATTCATATTATCTGCAAACTTAATCAGCACAGGCCTTTTAAGGCATCAGTGAAAATATTCTTCCAGGTTGATATCAATCTGTTAATCGGCCTTCTCTGGGTATGGCTACTGAGGTCCAAGTCCATCACAGAAAACTATCATTCTGCCCACATTTCTTCATTTTCCCCACAAGGACCTCATGTGAAGCGCTGTCAAAATTCCTCTTGAAAGAGAACCCCATTTTTAATAATATTCCTTTACTCTAATAAAATTTTTTTAAAATTTTTAAATATATTTTTATTGGTTTCAGAAAGGAAGGGATAGGGAGAGATAGAAACATCAATGATGAGAGTCACTGATTGGCTGCCTCCTGCACGGCCCCTATTGGGGATCAAGCCAGCAACCCAGGTATGTGCCCTTGACCTGAATCAAACCCGGGACCCTTTCGTCCACAGGCCCATGCTCCATCCATTGAACCAAACTGGCTAGGGCGTCTAATACAATTTTTAAAAAGCAAATGAGGTTGGTTAATAATAGTTAAAACATTTTAGGAATAAATCTTTTTTGTTCAAACAAAATATTCCCAGGAACCACAAAAATTAAACACACAATGGTTAATTTAAATAATTTTAAGAACATAAATTTATCTTAAATTTTCCAACTTATGTTCTGTAAAGATAGGTTTTCTAAAGGCTTCCTGGTCAGATCAATTTAGATATTATCACCTTCGTTTAAGAAGGTTTAAATGTTCAAGCTTTGAAAGATTTGCATTAAAGAAACATACTAAATTACCTATGTTGTAAAAACAAAATTTGAATCAAATGCCTGAGATATCCCTGAAAGCGAAAAACACTGACCTATGAGACTTGGGTTTTTTTTGTGAACCAATGTTGACTTTTATCAATCATTACACCAGCAGTTACTATGTGCCAGATATTTCACCTAAATTCTCATTTAAGAGCGCTTTCCTCCTGGGAGCATACCTACCCCCATCCTTTCAACCTCTTCTTGCCCCCAGGCTCATTACCTTTGCCCTTCTCTCTCCTAAGCTCCAAGGGCCCTTATTCTGCCTGTGTAACTTGTTTCCGGAGCCTACAATGCCTATCTGGCTCACTTCTACTACCTACCTTTGTAACTTTTAAAATAAACTTAAAATCCTAACTTAATTCTCACAATAATCTCCTGAGGAGCTAATTACTATCAATTTAATTTTATCGGAAGAACCTAAAGCTCGGAAAGGCTAAGTAACATGACTACAGCACAAGCCTCAAAATGGTAGTCAATTTTCCAACTCTAAACCCCACAGGGTACTGATGATACTTGCTGCCTCTCAAAACTTCCTATACATTCACACAAATCTAACTACCCTATAGAACTGATGTCACTGAAGTTTCTGCATATTAATTACTAGAGGCCTGGTGCACAACCCTCAGCCTGGCCTGTGCCCTCTTGCAACCCAGGACCCCTCAGGGGATGTCGGACTGCCGGTTTTGGCCCAATCCCCGCAGGCCAGGCCGGAGGGACCCCCAACCAGTGCACAAATCCATGCACTGGGCCTCTAGTATGCATATAAGATCTTTGGTTAATCTCTTCCCACCCTTCCCGCCTCCCCTCTGAGATTCATCAGTCTGTTCCATGTTACCATGCCTGTGCATTGAGAATCTGCTCTCTGGTGGTCAGTGTGTGTCATAGCTACTGAACAGGCAAAGGGTCGCTTAGGCTTTTATATGGATTCCCCCCGCCCTCCCTTTAAAACTTAGGACATTTATCTTCCTCCATTCTTCTATCCCTCGAAGATTACTCATATGCCAAATATTCTCAGCATATAAGAATACTAGAGGCCCAGTGCACAAAAATTCATGCACTGGAAGGGGGGCAGTGGCCCTCAGCCTGGCCTGCCCCCTCTCCCAGTCCGGGAACCCTCAGGGGTGGGAGGCGACCTGGCGATCAGGGGAAGGCCGTGTCCCATCACACCTCTGCTGTTGCCACTGCTGGCAGAGCAAGCCTTGGCTGGCCCAGGGCGGCTGGGCAGCTGCCATCAGAGGCTTGCCCACACCTTGGGCAGGCCCTGTGGGGCTGGGGGACTGAGGGGACTCCAGAGGCAGGCGTGGCGAGGCTGGGCTGAGGGGACTGGGCGCTGCCATCATCTTTGAGGGTGTGACAGTCGATTAGCATACTCCCTCATTGGCTGTGGGCGCCACCATATTTGTGACAGCACGATGGTCAATTAGCACATTCCCTTTTTTATTAGATTGGATTATTTCATAGAAGCCAGGATACTTGAACTGAATTCAAGGTAATTTCTTACAAATGCTTCATTTATTTTGAGCTTTAAGTTCCTTTTGGCTATGATATATTATTCTCACTGCATCTCATATAATTTGCTATTTACTATTAAACAAAATTTAAAAACAGCCACAGGATATAAGGCAAAAAGTAAAACATATTAAGCAACAACAAAAAAATTATAGCAAAGAGCTCCTGTAAGTTTTCAAATGGAAAAATCAAGTTTCTATTTTCTGCAGAAAAGGGAACAATGTAAAGTTCTGAATGATGAACTAGGCACATCTGTTTATTAAATAATTGTCCAAATCCCTTACTAAACCTTCTTTTAAAAATCAACATAATGTCTTAGTCCAGATGAAAAATATTAACTCCTGTACAGCACCCTTTATTTCCAAAATAATCAAATTATCTCCGTATAAGAAAATATATTTTTAATATATATTTTTTTATTTCAGAGAGAAAGGGAGAGGGAGAGATAGAAACATCAGTGATGGGAGAGAATCACTGATTGGCTGTCTCCTACTGGTGACTGTGCCCAAACCTGGGCATGTGCCTTAACAGGGAATCATGGAACCTACTGGTTCATAGGTCCACACTCAACCGCTAAACCACAAGGGCCTGGCAGGAAAATGTTTTGGGTTTTTTTTGTTTTGTTTTTTGAAATATATTTTATTGATTTTTTTACAGAGAGGAAGGGAGAGGGATAGAGAGTTAGAAACATCGATGAGAGAGAAACATCAATCAGCTGCCTCCTGCACACTCCCTACTGGGGATTTGCCCACAACCAAGGTACTTGCCCTTGGCCAGAATCGAACCTGGGACCCTTGAGTCCGCAGGCTGATGCTCTATCCACTGGGCCAAACCAGCCAGGGCAGGAAAATGTTTTAAGTCATACAAATTTCAGTGAGTATGAGATCAAGTATTACATAAGTAAAGTAGGCTAGATTTTTACCAACAATTCAGTGCAAACCATATACAATTAGGGACAGAGAAAC